AGTTAATTCAGTAAACTAATATGCAGCTTTCGACTATGTCGACTGTAAGGTGTTGTGGCAGTAGTTTAATATGAAGGGAGTACCGACCAAATATATGATGTTTCTCAAAGCTTTCTACTCGAATTCACGCAGCCGTGTAACAGTTTACGTAAAGTCGTCAGAATTGACAACTTCATGTGGATTGATATACTTCCTTGAGACCACCTGGTTGACTTGGAATAGGCAGATGACATTGTCCTGGTCGGTGAAGACCCAGACAAAATAAAGGGTCATTTAGATGCGTGGAGCAGAAATCTGAGTATCTTTGGCATGTGTTTCACTGCTACCTGTCAAATATAAGATCATGCTCCAGGACTGATCTCCAAATACTCTCAGTTTAGTGATAGGGAATGAAATGGTGGAATGTATCAACCACAGGCTGAATGCTGACTAAATATCAGCTCGGATACAGAAGGCCCATTTGGCATTTGCCAACCTGAGTTGTCTGCGGCTCTGACTGGCAAGATACCCAACTACTTATCAATGGACAAGTATAATGCGTTGTAGTCCGTTCTTTCCTGTTATACGGCCGTGAGACATGGTCGTTGAAAGTAGATTGCAGGGTTTTGATCATAGATGTATTAGTACTATTGCTTGCATCTAGTGGAATCACCATGTGAGCAATGTTGAGGTTAGGTGAAGGGAACTAGGCCAGACAGGCAAGTCGATTGATGAAGTTGTGAACCATCATTGACTGAGATGGCTTGAACATGTACTATCTATACCGGGCCACCGCCTGTGGTGATGTGCAATGCTAGAGAAAGTTGGATTAGCTTGGAAAAGGGTTCCGGGTGATTAGACCGAGATCTGGCACCAGGTGAAAAAGTCTCTGACTGTTGGCCCGAGTCGTATGACGAAGATGTAGACTGTTTGGTTAAGATCCCCGAGAAGAAAGGAATCAGTGGTTGAGGACTCTTAGTGACACGACTTAATATCTGTCAGAATGGTGCAGATGTATTCACTCCTTGAAATCTTCTAAAGCTTGAATATTTTCGCCAAGCTTTATCTTCAAATTATTCATACTAACACAACTTAGTCTACTTTGATATCACTCTTTTTCTATGCAATTGTTCTTTTTATACAACTGTGAAGTCTGGTAACTTGAACCAATGAATTTGTGTGTGAGGTTCTACGTTAATTTTTTTCTATCTTGATTCAAAGTTTCGGTTAACCGCCTTCGACTGTTTGAAATTAAGTTCTGAAATAGCTATACACTGACAGAATTCTGTGTATAATGAAGACCAGATAGCATAATATAGATTGCAGTCGAGCGATCACCAACTAGCAATTTTGGACAAATGAGCATTTTTAATAATTTAGTTTCACTTCATGTAAGATCACTACACCTACAACACAGGAACGAAGTTCATATTCAGTTTTTAACCACGCTGTAGTAATTCAATACAATTATAAACAGAATATAAATCCCTATGCTTAATAGTATTTACAGGAATATTTGATGGTTCGTACGATAAGATTTGAGCGTATAGAAAGTAAAATACGAGTGAAATAAGGTAAACAAATAACTGGAAAACAAAGACATTTTGACCCTGTTTTCCTAAAAATGTATAGAATGAATACACTAAGGAAATTGTAAAAATCACAATTGTAACATTAGGAAGATATTCAGCGAAGAGACTCTTTTCAAGGTGTACATTCGTATTGATATGATACTTTACACTCACTCTGTTTTAAAGAAAACATTGTTCATGAGCTTAGAGTTTAAAGATGACCAAGCATCAGATACACCCAAGAATCGTCTTTGTAAATCAATCAATAAAATGTTCTTCTCAGTAAGACTTCAATTGACTTTTACAAGCCGTAAATTATTCTTCGTTTGTGTGAAAGACAAGCTTCTTCATCTGGCCGTCTCTGTATCCATCTACCAGTTCGCCTGCTCTTGTGAAGCAAAGTACCTTGGCGGTAACCAGAGAATGTTGCCTACGCGTATACGAGAAAATGTTTCAGGCTGGTTTTATCAAGGTGAAAGAAAATCTGCTAGATGTTCTATTCCACAACATTTGCTTGATTTCCACCACTCAAGAAACCAAGACTATTAGTTTCAAATTGCTTGTCAAATTCGCCCAAAGCTCCCACGTTTTCTAATCCTGAAAACGGCGTGGGCCTTAGCTATTCTCATGCAATGAATTTTGATCTGTGTAAAAAGAAGCATGTACAGTTAATGTTTTTAGCAAGGTCATTTTCCAACTCTTACTAGATTGACCCTCTCTGTTAAGTTAATCTTTATATCATTTATTATTTCATGGTTAGTGTTACCCATTCAACAGCTATGTGAGGATGCTATATGCCAGGTGACTCACAATGGAAAGATAAGAGTTGCTATCAAAGTGAAGACGGGAGTACGACAAGGTTGCCGCCTACTATTACTGATCGTCTTCCTGACTGTGGTCGACTCAACTGGATCATGCAACAAACTGTGAGAAGCGAGAAGTAGGACATACTCTGTTTGACTGATGAAAAGACCCCTGAAGATTTGGACTTCGCCGACAATGATGATTTATGTCTAATGCCTTGTAGCACAAACTCCAAGATCTACAGGCAAAAAACAACAAGTTGACAGAAGAGGCAGGGCAGCGAAGGGAGACGGGACTTCCTTCAGGTGAACGTAGAGAAGACAGAAGTGATGAAGATACCCAACCAAAAGGAGAAGATGAGTTGGGCGTCCGAGGGTGACATGGATGAGATCGTGTGAGGAAGAAATGAAAGCTACTGACTGCAGAGAACAGAGTAAAGTGGTGACATGCTATTCAAGCCCTACGTTCCACCAAGAACCCCCAAGGGACTAGTAAAAATAAAATAATAATATTATTGTTACCATAATTACTTTCAATTTGATTAGTTTTCGATAGTATTTCCCTTAATTGTGTGAATCTTTTTGAAAAACACTGATTTTATGTTAACCAACTTGTTTCATCATATTACATAATACCTTACTGATTTACCACTTACATCAATTTCTCGCTCCTTTCTGAATTATATAGGTTCTATGAACCATTCTACATATTACTGATGGATAGAGACAGTTAGAAAAAAAAGTGTATTCAAATCAGTAGTCATCAACTTAAATTTAACGATTTACATAAAATTTAGTTTACTGGGCTAAATCAATTATCCATTCAACTATAATTGAATGATGTAACGTTCCACTTTACAGTACAATCCAACCAATCACATTCAAGTTGCTTGGATTATTAGGGGAATGGTTAGTATATAAATAATATAACAACAACAACAACAACACAAGTTATTCTCATTCATTCTCATATGATAACTTTAAGCTTGCTGGCCAGATTCTCAGAAATGGTGACGATTTGCTAGACTTGTGTCTCTTTAGAATCCAATCATAAAGGAAATCAAAACCAAGATCCAGGTTGTAGTAGGATTCATCAAATCGGTGACCTACAAGGTTACCACTCTAGTGCTCTACGGGTTGAGCTGAAACTTTCGGTCTTACGGTAGATGCAAACAGAAAAAAGTGATTTAAAATTGAATGCGACTGTTGATTGAGTATCAAACAAACGATAATGAATAATCATAATCACTAAAGACAATGTACTGAAAGCAAAAATGTGATGATGATGATAATAACAGAAATAAAATGTACACAATACAATGCACTACGTGAGTTCGTAGGTTATATAAAGGATGATATAAACTAGCCGACAGAAGAAATGAAATATACATTTGATCATAAAATGTTAACAGTAAGCAATTATGGTAGCAGTGATACAAACAGAGTCAATGTTAAGTCTTATTATGCAGAATTTCGTTAAGATGACAACAAAAGGTATTAAAGGGTGATGAGATTAAAATCGACAAAAGAAAGTATAGCAACTAAATTCTTATCAAAAGGCTAGATTGAAGAGAAACATAGGGATGCGGAAAATAATAGTTTTGACGAGAAGTAAAGTTTGAACGTATGCCTTTAAAAAAGTGTAAACAGTTTGATTTCATCAACTGAATAGCCTGAAAAGTTGTTGATAGAAACAAAAATTACAGGATTTACATAAATTCCCTCATAACCGGACAAATGTACTTGTGAACGCAACAGATTTGTTGATGTAATCGAGTTTTTAATCAAACTAGAGTCTCTGATGTAAGACAAGCTTTCAATGATAGGCCAGACATAGGTTTTTCAAGGTGGAACTTTACAATTTATGATATACTGAAAAAGAATGACTAGTGTATATCATTGGAACATCATCCATCAGTGACAACAATTTCAGTCCAAAACACAAATCAACCATCACAATAAGTAAATCCTATTGTGAATGATAAACACGTTTACAATTAAATTGATCTTGGTGACTAGCAGAGGAATCCAGGACGCGTGTTTCGTCCTATTTGGGTTTCGTCAGCTGGATATACCTGCACTCCAGTGAGTGATATTGTTCTCATCGGGGCTGAAACCCAGTGCCCTTCGCTTCAAACACCAGAGTGTTATCGATTAGGTCACTGGGGCAAGATAGCCACCTCTTATGCAACAGTTATCAGTTGTTGTAATTATACTTGAAATTTCCCGTTGTTATATACAGGGCCGAATCGCTCGATCTTTTCTACAACTACCATTTGAAATCGTAGAGAATATTTGTAGCTCAGGTGAACGATTCTAATTGTTTTGTGTTCTTTGAGCTGGGTGATTTAATCGTGAAGCTTTCATTGTCTTTCTAGACAATATCATCAGGGTAATGAAGTGAGCTATTAACATTGATAGTTAACTTCATATTGAAGTGAATACTGCCGGTGATATTGTCTAGAAAAAGAATGAAAGCTTCACAAGCAAACCACCCAGTTCAGAGAATATAACACAACTAAGACAATAGCTACTTAAAATATGACGTTACCCATGTCAGTTGGTATGAAAAATAGATTGAATATCAAGTTATGTAACAGTGATTATGTAATAAGGAGATAACGATTGCTGTTAATTAAAGACTTACCTATCACATATAAAAAAGTACATCATAATAGCACCAAATTTGGAAAGAGCACTGCTTAGCTCATAGAATTCAATAAAGAATGAACTAGATGTGTCATTATTATCATTACTGCAATTATTATGACTATCATCATTGTCTACATGGTCATCATCAGCATCTGAATTATTTTCAATTGGAATATAAAGTTGTGATGATTCTGTTGTTTTACGAAAAAGGGATAATAGAAATTTACGGAAGTTTTTCAGTTGAACACCTGATTTCAAAAAAATAGAAAAACACAAGAAAAAGAAAGGAAAAAAATAGAATGTAAGAAAGATATTAACTCAGAAAAATTAACTTCGTAGTTGGAAGTTTAGAAAGGAAACCATGCACACATGTACAAGGTTAGGTTCATTATGAAATTGTTTTTAAAAAAACCAAATTTAATTGTAAATTTTCATCTAAATTGATCACAGAAAGAGTAGACATCAACAGAAATACTTTTACATTGTTTAGCTTCAAGTTATTGCACCGCAAATCAGCACATCGAAGTAAATTCAACAAGTCATGATATGAGTCATTGTAAAAGCCTAAAGGATCAAATCAACAAGATAATACACAGAATGTAGCATACATAGGTGGGTATAATAAATCCACTGTATCTCACTCTATGACGATACGCTTATTGATAATGATGCAACTAAACAATTGCATACAAGTTCGTGCATGAAACAATAAGACATTCTCATTTTTTAAATGGGATGAAACCGACTGATTGTTAATCGAGAAAAGGTACGACACGTGACTGCTACTTAAAAATTACATTATTTCATTGATATTAAACTCCCTATTGCTCTTATTTTATATTATTTAAGGCCATTTCTGATAGTTTATTAACTCAGCTGTTCTGCTCATGTCTTTGTTAGATGTTGTAGGTCATATTAGGGTATCATGAGTGTACTTGTGTAACAAACTGAGAGATACTATTATTGTACTGATGTTCTGGAATCGGAAAAAGCTTAACGTAATAAGCTGTGACTATTCAGATGTGACATATGTGACATGTGACATATGAATGCGTTTATGCTTGATCAAGTCATGATAAATACTCATGTGTGCAACGATATTCCTATTGACTATCACTTAAATACAACTGAGTTTATTCTATTGGAACTGTTACTACAAGTACAGGTGTGAGTTTATGTGAACTGTTTATTGGGACTACCTGGAATCCACAGAGTACAATTACAACTCCTGTTTTCCCTGTGTGACTTTGAAGTACTAGTTCTAGTGAATCCTAGATGCAGATAATTTAATTTATATTTTTGAAATGAATGGGGATTTTAATTTAGAGGTAGTATTTGTCATGGACTGACATCAGTTGGGGAACCATTGAAAATCTGGGAGCACTGGACAGCTGTTTCGTCCTCAGACATGCATTAATGTACAGTGCTCATTAGTGATATTCTTCCAGATGGATATCATGAAGTGCTCATGAGAAGCTGTGACCTGCGGGTCAACCAGTCGGAGGAGAAGGGGATGCTAACTGAAGACCTTAGGTGATAGTCATGCTATATCGTGAACTGACAGAAGTTGGAAACTGTGAAACACTGAAAACCCAGTGGCTGAACAGTTAACGCGTTCATCATGAAACCTGAAGGTTCTGAGTTCGATCTGTGGCGGAGTCGTGGGTGCATACTGCTGAGGGGTCCAATACAAGGACGAAACAACTGACAAGTGCTCATAGCTTTCCAATGGTTTTCCAACTGATGTCACTCCGTGATGAATACTACCTTTAAATTTAATTTGCAGTTCAATTTCGAAAACAAGAAACCTAATGAAGCGAACAGAGCATTATTCCAATTCGAAATAGGATTTATGGTCCACTTTCAACAGTCTATCGGATAAGTGGCTTTGAAATGCACTGAGATTTATTTTCAATAAAACCTTCAGTACACAGATACCCGTTTATGAATTGGTTGAGAGAAACAACAATGATTTAAAGCAGAGTACCGTAATACCAATTTATTTAGTCATTTTGTCATCAGTTGTTTACAACGTAAAACATTTAAATGTCGTGTAACAAAGAGAATGTGAACATACTTGCTGTAATAAAATGAAGTTAACAGACATTAACATGGTACATTAAAGAATAAAAAATATCAGGATAAAATTAACAAAACATGCTCAGAAGTTTCTGTTATATACCTGATTCAATAAATACTTCAAGAAAAATAATATGGATAGTAACAAAGTGTTCTAGTGCTTAGTGAAAAGATTATGCAAGGAGATTACCAATTACATTAGTTGACAGTAAGTAAGAGATAAATTATCTAGTGATATAATAAGTTGAATTCAGTCAGTTAAATGATTAATAACAGTTTGTACAAGTAATAGAACATTATGTCTAAAGATTATGTCATCAAATAAGAGGAAGAGTAAAAGAATAGGTTACCAGAGCAAAGAAAGACTTGTAGGTGTTTCTTTTTGAACATATAAATTCCCATCTCAGTTGTTTGATTGCTACATTCTCAATCGAACTGAAAAAGTTTCAAATTACACCGCTTTCTGATTACTTTGAAGGATTCTTAGGCATCTACTTTATGTTTCGTGTCGATAAGATGTTGAGAGACTGAACTACTGAAAGCAATTGCCCCTCTGAAATATATTTTTTTTGGTATTTTAGAAGGAACCCGAGGTGAGGTATTTCTTCTTCTCTATTCCCACAATGTAACTGTTACCGCAGATGTACATAATCTTGTATACACAATAAGAGGAAACATAAGCAGGGAACCTGTCGGCTTTTGATCATACCAAGGAGCATGTCGCACAGTATGCAAGTACCAACTTGGCTGCAGGATATTTTCTGTTCAGTGCGGTTTCCAGCTTTCTGGTGATTCTCCCTGTGACAGTCACCTTTGAAATTGAATTCAATAAAAACTGGCTTCTAGCTGTTTTCATTAACTTATTGTCTTCAGATATTCCATATTTATTAATAAACTTATGTCGATAAACGTTGTCTCGCAGGTATTTTTATAAGCTATAACTTAAACCTATTCTTCTAGCTTAAAAAAATAATGTGGTAACAAATTTTCAATGAAAATTGGTTGGTAAAGTTCCACTTTAATTTAGGTACAGTCCATTCTATGTATTCTTTTGATGAGTGAACCTTTAGAACATACCACCATTTCTGCGTTGCAAGTAAATATCTAAAAAGCTGCACATATAATCGTTTTCATGCTCTATGGTGAACTCGCCATTTTCATAAGCATTATCGAAGAATTCTAGTAAATCGGATACATGGCGTTGGTCATTGGACAATGTGTCGCCGACATATCTGGAATAAGATGTCTTTTCTTCAATTGCAGCTGAATTCCGAAATCGACAATGGGAGGGGAAGAGAGAGGAGATTGGGGTGTGGAAGGATAATGACACCATGAATTTATGAAACATCCTAATGTCAATCATATCTTCAAGGGACTGGAATGAATCCTTCAGGGCAAGGTGCAGCCAGTTGTCGACACTTACGTCCAAACTTTTCCGCAAGCCAACAAGCGATCTTGTGATTAGGTGAGTTAACCATAGATAGTACAGATTTCAAGCGAACACTCTGCTTATATATATCTTCGTCAGACCATAGATGAAAGGCATACAAAACTTTCGAGATTTCAGATCATTATATGTAGAGCTATTTTTTTTAAACGGATGTGATTCACTTCTTTGTTGAACCATTGGAATCAACTAGGTTAGGGAAGTACTTTTTCAACTACTGTTACGACTCAAACCAGATACATGGAAAACGTCTTCGTGGGTATCTGATTTTCTGATTGAAAAAAACAGGTGTTGCTGTGTTTTCATGTCATTCGAATGATCAACCTATCGATGAGCAGAAAAAGCCTAGGAGGCTTTGTCAAAGATATGATAAACGCTAACCTTTAAATATCTGTGTTAAGTGAGTACTTTTGGGTTAGAATAAATCTGTAACTGCTGATCTTTCGGCTTCTACTACTTCTAGGTGTCCACTATCTGCCGTTTCGTACTTATCACAAACTCAGCTACTAAGCTAAAAGTAGTTCACAAGCATTGGACCTTATTAGCTACCGAAACAGAAGATGAACAGAACCTAGGCAGGTACTTCAGGAGGGATAATGATTACCCACAAACTCAACTCTTCGGAGGTTAACTACAATAAAACCTATATCAGACTACGTTTTAGTACCAGAAAAATGATTAAAAAACATGTCGATGTATGTCACAGCTTGAATACTACTTGTGGATATTGTGAATAAATAGATGTGTATAAGACCAGTTTGATTGTTCGATATGAAATCAAAAACCAGCCACTAGTCATAAAACAGCATCCATTTATATCTAAACGCTGTGCTACTGTACTAAGGTATTTAACTGTTACTACAACAATATCTATCACACGTTCACATATGCTATCCTTTAGTCATTAGTATGACTCCTTTATATTTGTGCTTCGACAATAGTTAGCTGAAACTTTGATAGAGACGAAGAAGTTAAAGTATTAAAAAAATCACTTATGAAAGAAAAACTGACTTTTATAACAACAGTATACAATAAAAAATAAATAAATAATGTGTACCGACTCACCATGAGAAACAAACTGACTGTAAAGAAAGCACAGAAATGTGCTTAAAACACTGAAATAAATTTAGAAAATAAATAATATGAATACAGTAATAATACTTATAAAAAAAGATAAATTAGCATTTCTTTAAAGGAAAGGAGATATTATTCACCGAAAAAATCTCTTTCTTTGATGATGTTATCTTTTGAAGCTTTAGAATCGTCTATATATATATATATATATATATATATATATATATATATATATATATATATATATATATATATATATATATATATATAACATTTATTTCCCGATACAAAGTTAAAACAAGCAACTAACGTAATTAAAGCGGGATTTATTCAATTCATAAATTTACTTTACATACATAATTTTGCATACTGTTGTGCAATAAAGGAATATATACATACATAATGAAGGCTAAGACATTGAATGAGACATAATAACACGGAGTGAATTATTTACTTATGTTAAATATCAGTATCAGCCTCACGAGAAAGTCCTAAGCATTTATTTGATCAAAAGGTATCAACTCACTGAAAATCCTACTTTGTACGTAATATTGGGAACTGATGTTAGAAGATTTAACTGGCTTACCTCTGATTTTCTGTTTCTTGAACAGCTTCACAATCAACTCACCTCCCTACCAATACCCTGAATAATACCACATACCAAACCTCAAGCACAATAACTGGTCTCCGATTTGTGGTCCGTTACAAATGCAGCGGAAATTTGGACAAACAATCAAACCCAAGAGATCACTTTACCTAACGGCAACACATCCATAATAATTCTGCGCAACTGATTTTTCTGGTACTTTTTCTTGTATGAATCTATCTAACAGAAGTCAATTAACAGCTAATATATCTCCTTGCCAATGCTGCATACTTTAATGTGAAATCTATGAAGTTTTACATATGTGTAATATTCACCACTGTTGAACGACGATTCTTCCAGTTTTTAATTACTTGCACCACAACAAATATTTTCAGTATTATCAATCTGAATTGCTGGGAAAGATAACACTTGAAGAGTGAGAAATGCATGAACCTATATATTCTCACCTGGATTAAATGATTGTATGGATACTTATTCTTGAAATCATTGAAGTAGGTCATTATTGGTCAATATAGTTACGAACATCGGGATTACTGTTAAAATAGACGTTTACCTGACGAAGCACTGGGTTTCGCAGAAAGGTCAATCATATCGACTACTCATAACGTAAACACCGAATATTGCGCCGCTTGATGCCACTTTAGCGTGAAAAAAAGAATTGTGAGTAGGAATGATCTAAACTCAGAACGACGTGTATGTACTGTAAAGTGATATTTTCCTGCTGTTTTCATAACTTTTAGACACTTGATATCATGATAGACCTTAATGTCCTCCTTCTGTACCATTCAAAACTGCTCAAACCTTTAGGTTTCTCTGCAATTATCAATTTGATGATGCCTGTAAACCGGCTTCTCTCATGGTAAATTCATTACCTGACAATAAAAATATTTATTCATTCATATAAATGGAATTAAGATTCAGTTGGGAGGAGGTAAAGAATTGATAGTGAAAAATAAAAAGGCTAGAGATGGATTATATCTTTTCAAACAAAACAATTAGTTACTAACTAGATAACTTGATAAAGGCATACACCAAGGGAACATAGGTGATAGGTAAACAAAAATACTGATTATGATAGCGATGATACAAGTGAGTGACAATAATGATAATTATCGACTGGACTATTTGAGATAGCCGTGGTTTGACAGATTAGTATTGGTACTCGGTGATGATTGGAGGTGAAATGAAAATTTTAACCGTGGCGGGACTCGAGCCAGAAACCTCCAGGTTTACAGGCTCGATGCTTTACCAACTGAGCTAAGAGGTCAGTCAGGTCTTTTGACGATTAAGCGGAGAAGTTCAAGAGAAAATGATAGTGCAGCAGGATGGTAGTGAAGAGGTAAATATGCGAAGCAGAGAAAGAAATAAAATGGAAAGATGAGATATTAATGAAAATAAATAAGTTCAAAGTACTTCGACACCTATACCATGGTAGATTCAGGGTGACTACCGCCTCTTTCTGTAGATATAGGCTCAGCTTACAAACTCTAATTGCACATGCTTCGATGGTCGCAAGTATTTTCATATTCCGCTGTCTGCTGACAACCGGGAAGGTCTTAGTGGTATCAACGTCATGTCGATAATCCATTAGATGTTTCGTAAACGAACTCTCCGGGAGTTTTGATTCGGCTTGCCTTAACCATTTAAGTAAATGCCCAATCATGCGAGTAGACAGATGTCTTTGCCTTTCCGTACGATCTGTGTATTCGCTTCCACAAGTACATTTGAATTGGTATATACAGTTAGATGTGTCGAGGATTGGAGTCGTGTATTTTCCTCATTGCTGCAACACCCGCCAGGTGGTGCTCAGAAGTACTAGTTTAGCTGCATAATAAGTTTTTTTGATGGCCTTGTCTAGCCCCTGCTTAACTACTTATAAGATGTCGCCTCCTTTATTTATATATATCATAAACACATAATAGTCTGTTGTGTCTTTGATAAGAATACTAAGCGTAATTTATAAATAAATCGACCACTTGTGGAAAGGTTAGTAGACAACCTGTATCCAACAGATTACTGAAGAAATATCAATATCGTGTTGCTTGAGTCTCCGGTGTTAACCGAATTCAGTCAACCACAGTGCAACAGATTATTTTTGCAATGATAAGTATTTAGAGTGATTATCAAGAAGTCATACAGAACTAAGGTTTCGTGCTTGATAACGCCAATCAGTAAGATGTAACTGTAACCCTATGGAAACTAGTGACATAAGATGCCTGGTGATGTGGGCCAGATGTTATTTTTTTTAGGCTCCAACGCATTTAATGCGGCAGAATAACGCAGAAGTTCTCATTACTTCACCTTTAATGAATCAAATCTGCACATGTACTCTAGTACAACGTGAGAGGACTCTCATAGTGCATCTACAATAACTAGCTCCATGTGAATAGTTGACACTACAGATACACACTGACGTGAACGTATGAGGAAGCTCACTATCTGTGGTGTTAAGATACATTTACTGTTAAGGTTATCTTCCTAGTGGTTGTTAGGACGTCTTCTTCAATTATTGTTGAAGATTTTTCGTTAGAATTCTAACCAGATTATCTCCCTGAGTTGATAACTTAGAAATGGTTTCTTTCTAATGCAGATGGATTGATGCTGGTCAGACTGCTGAGATTGGGTCCACCTTCCAAATAATTATTAATCCAGGAATCCAAAGAATGATATAACGATCCAAGTTGTTTCATTTTACAGCGGTATGCGCAAGTCCCCCTTTGCGACAGACCACGTAGCTATTACAAAAATGCAACAAGGCTTAATAGTTGGAGTGCGAAACTGAAGTAAAAACATCAGCTGTATCTTTTCGTCCTCAGTCGTATGCTCGAACATCGCCACACGTATTGCAGATCGACGATTGTTTAGTTTCTTGATATTCAACTTGCTTCCATTTCATTCAACAGGGCTATGATCTAGAGTTGTCTGTTAGATAGAGGTTTCTTAAGACGTTTGTTAACTTTCTAAGATCAGTATACAAAGTTGCCCCAGGTTACAAATTAGCGAAACGATAGCAAGAAGGAAGGCGACAATAATGAAATCCGGACGCATCAGCGCCAATGATATCGACCCTGGACCATATCACCTTGAGACTCTAAACACTAGTTTCTGTTGTCCCACGGAACTCAATCGGGAAGTTCATTCTTCCCAACATGGCTTAAATCAAAAGTCAAACATTTCATCAAATGCTCCTATGTTTGAACTTGGCAGCCTCTAACCTTTTTCCGTCCATTAATTACTTCAACCAACATAGCGTCAAGGCGGGAACGGCGATAAGGAGTGCGTAACATACGTCCAAACCACCTCAGTCAGTGAAGTTTCGCAACACCACAAAGTGACGCTTCTATTTTGTTCAAAACTCTGTCTGTCTTCTATGTTACTGACGTAGTGACACCACAATACACGCCTTATGCTACGAAGGAAACGGTGGTCGAACACCTAAAGTTTTTTTATGTCCTTTACCGTCAACAACCATTTTTCAGAGCTATCTAGTTGAATAGAACGAACTGCAGCGCAGTACACTCAGCCCCCAATGGGCAATCGGATATCACTGCATCGCAACAGATGATTTAATTTGGAGAAATCCAAGCAAGTGCTTGGTATTCGTGACAAGATTTCTTCAGTCGCTTATCCAACAAGGATGAACCGAAATCCTTAGTAAGTGAAATGGTCAACCCATTCAACCGTTTCATTCCCTGTTACTAAGAAACGCACCGGCAAATATCAGTTCTGAAGCAGAAATTCATATTATTGGGATGTGAAACACATCTTAGGCAATCTCAAGTTTCCCCTCAAGGTGTCCAGAAGACTACATCTTTTCAACATCTTCACCTAGTAGAACTATGTCCTTTGCGCACTCTAAGTCTACTAAGATATGTTCTATGACACGAGTGATTCGCATACAGTCAGATAAGGAGGAGGATACCTTCAAAATTATGTATATTAAAAAACTAGATACGAGTAAAGATAGTGTACACTCTTGACCTACAAAACTGAAATGATAACTCACTATGGAATCTGACACATGCACGGGTATTCGAATGCACAGCCTTTGTTAGAAAGATGTACTTATCCGAAGCCCATTTTAGTTGAGAGATATTGTTATAAGACTTTTCAATGAAAGTTGCCGAATGCCTAAGAGATGCATTTAATATTCGGTGCCGATGAGTGTGCATATGCTCCAAAAGCTGGTGAAGAGTTAATATATATCTGATGGATACACATGATCAACTCTGAAGCTGGACTGAATTTTTAGAGTTCGCTTCTACCGGGTTTTTCGCAAACGTTCACTGATTATTAAACCTAGAACCTTAGAAAGTATGTTCGTCAGACTGATTCCCCTGTGGTTATCACAAAAAATTTTTTTCTTTTCTTGAAAACTGAGACATTTAGTAGCTAGCTAACACTTCAGCTAACTCGATCAATAGTCCTCGACCA